GTCTACATTGGTAAGATGTGTTGGGGTTATGAGTTAAAGATCTCGGAGACTCAACTTATAGTCCACCTTAGGGTCATGGACATGTCGAAGTTCGACACCATCTACGAGATGGATTGGTTGGCGGCACACTGAGTTGTCATTTATTGTGATCGAAAGAAGGTCATTGCTTATACACTAGAAGGTGTTTGTATCAAGTTTCAAGAAGAAAATCACAATGCTTTAGTCTAAGCCGTGTATGACTCTCTTTGGTATTGACAGTTGAATCGGTTCACCATAAAAAATTAGTAACCAATGCCAGGCATAGATGACTTGTTTGACCAATTGAAACGGGCTCGGGTTTACTCTAATATAGAATTGCGCATGGGATACCATTAGTTGAAGGTACAAAAAATTGACATTCCCAAGATGACATTTAGGACTCGATATGGCCACTTGGGGTTCACGATTATGCCATACAATTTGACGAATACCTTAGTTGCATTCGTGGATCTCATGCATGGCATATTCAAACCCTATCTTGATCTAGTTGTCGTGGTGGTTGTATATGACATTGTCGCATCCTTTAAGACGGAGGAGGAGCACGAACATCACTTTAGGTAGAATGGTACGTTGTTTAATATGATATCTCAAAATAAGGACTTGGATACATTTTCATATAGTCTAGTAAGGTAGTTGCTTATGATTCCAGTTAGCTTAAGAACCATAAGAAGAACTTTCCGACACACAACATGGAGTTGGTGGCTATTGTCTTTGCTTAGAAGACATGACAACACTATTTGTACGGAGAAAAGTTTAAGGTGTTTCAGATTGCAAGAGTCTGAAGTATATTTTCACGTAACGGGACCTCAACATGAGACATCGCATGTGGATGGAGTACTTAGAGGATTATGACTTCACTTTGTATTATCACTCTGGTAAGAAAATTGTGGTGGCTAATGCATTCAGCCAGAAGTCACGGGGAGTCTTGGCTAGTATAGTTTCCCAGAAGTGGTAGATGCGCGATACTATGGGACAGTTCTGACTACACTACAGAGGTCAGGCTTAGAGCACTTTGGAAGATCTGATAGCTACCCTTTCCTTATTGAGTAGAGTGATTGAGTCCTAAGGTTAGGACATGGAGATATTGTCAATTAAAGACCGCATACAAGTGACAAGGGTTAGGTCATTCACATAGATGGTAGTATTTGATTTAGGGGAAGATTTGAGGTTCTCCAGTCTACGAATATGGGAGATGAGATCCTCATGAAGTTTCATTGCTCTTGTTTTGTTATGCATCAATCCAGGTGGCACGAAGATGTACCATAATCTTCATCACCAGCATTACTAGATTGGGATGAAGAGACACGTCAAAAAATTTGTTAGTAGATGTCTCGCGTGTCAATAGGTCAAGACTTAGCACAAAAAACCAGCAGGGTTGCTCCAGCGTTGAAGGTGGCAGAGTGGAAATGATAACATGTCACTATGGACTTTATGACCCACTTACCATGAATTTCGTGTGGACATGATGCGATATGGGTCATAGTGGACCAGCCTACGAAGTTGACACACTTTTTGGCTGTGCGGATGACCTTCATAGTAGAAGAATTTTGTAGCTTGTACATACGGGAGATAGTCCGATTGCATAGGGTACCTGTATCTATAATATCATATTAGGATTTCAAGTTTACGGTTCACTTCTGAGAGAGTTTTCAAAGAGTTATGGGGACATAGTTGATTATGAGCACAATTTTTCATCCCCAAACGGACGGTCAATTAGAGAGGGCCATCCAGACTTTAGAGGACACGGTTTGGGCATCCATCCTCGATCTTAAGGGTAGTTGGGAGGAGCACTTATCCTTAGTGGAGTTCGCCTATAATAATAATTATTAGACGAGCATACAGATGACAACCTATGAGGCTCTTTATGTGAGGCCATGTTGTTATCTAGTATGTTGGACGGAGGTTGGACAGGGACCCTCCACGATTCCAAAGTTGGTTAGTGACACCTCAGAAAAGGTGGACTTGATACGGAAACATCTACTTACAGCTCAAAGCCAACAGAAGAGCTACACTGATAGGTGGTAGAGACCACTGGAGTTTGAGATTGAAGATCACGTCTTCTTGAAGTTTATGCATAAGAGAAGAGTGGTTAGGTTCGAAAAGCAGAAAAACTATCGTCGAGGTATATCGAGCCCTTCAAGGTACTCGAGAGGGTCGATACAATCGCTTACCGGTTAATGTTATAAGCAAACCTATCAAGTGTTCATGTGGTATTCCATATTTTCATGCTATAGAAGTATACTCCAGATCCTACACATGTGGTGATTAGGGTGATCTGATTGTTAATGTAGATGAGACATTCGAGGAGGGATCGATGCATATAATGGATAGCAGAGATCAGGTTTTTCGTGGCAAGATTATGAGACTAGTGAGGTGATGTGGCAGCTCCATGGTATGAAGGATGCGACATAGGAGCGTGAGGACACTATCTGTTCTACCTACCATTCCTATTTAAGGATGTAGGTACATTTTTAGTAGTCATAGAGTATTTTATGAATTGTTGTATATGCATGTCATTATATGTGCATGTGTGTGTAATTTTAGAGATGAAATTCCTTTAATGGAAAATATTGTAAAACCCTAGAAAATTTAAAAAAATATTAAAAGGGCAAAATGGTAATTAGTCATTACAATGTGGGTCAAAAATTTAAATTTTTTTAAAACTCGGACGATGAAACAATCCTTATTTTTGGATCTATATCGCGAAATTTAGTTACCCAGTCAATTTTTATTGAATTTTGAGACAGTCAAATTTTTACATTTTACGAGACAATTATAACATTTCATATGCATCTAGGTTGAAGAGTAACCTCTTTAGGAGATATCTTATTGAGTATGACTCACTCTTTATGAAAACACGTTTTAGGTATTACACAAGCTTCAGGGGACAACCCTCACTTAGGCTTGTGTTGAAGAAAGGGCCGGCCGGGTTGTGGCACTTAAATTACATGTTGTAATTTCTTGTATGTTATGTTTTGACTTTGTATAAATCAAGCACATACTTGTATTTTGATTAAGACATGAAATGATACATTATTATCTTGTAAAACAAATTAATGGAATAGATGTTGTATGAGTTTTTGGGTTAAAACTTGGATCTTGGATGGTTTGGAGAAAAAATATACTCTGGTACCGGTATCTCACAGGTTCCTAGCACCCAAAAAGCTCAGGTACCAGTACTTAGGCTCATAGGTATCGATACCCTATTGATAGTAGGCTCAAGTACCGATACGTAGGCTCACAGGTACTTGTACCAAGCTATCGAGAATCCATGTACCACTACCCTGTCATACAAGTACTGGTACCTAGCAATCAAAAGGCTCAGGTATTGATACCACTTATCACATGTATCAATACCTCCTCCCAAAATTAAATTTTAAATGTAACATTGTCATTCCTTTATATATTGGGCTCTTTTCATTTGGATGATGTAAATGAATGAATATTTAAGTTCTAATGTTGGGGTTTGGACCTAGAGATGGTCATATGAGTAATATTTAAACAGGTTATGTGTTGGGTACTGCTCCCGTACAAATGAGAGTCTGCCCAGATGCCATTTTGGTTACGATCTTGATGAATGGGGTGTAACGATGTGGTATCGGGTTATACGTTATCCATGAGTATTCCATGAGTTAATAGGTGATTAACAAGTTAAGAAAGGACTCCTGAATTTTCAGGTATCATAGTGATTGTGGGTGATGATGGTGGCGGCTTATGGGTGTTAGTGGGTAGGGGTGGTTAGTCACGATGGGTGGTGGTAGTGGTGGTGGGTGGTCAGTGTTTGTGGGTAGGGGTGGTGGTTAGTGGCGGAGTGTGTGGGGTGGTGCTGGGTGGTAGTTGACAGTGCTGGTGGGTTATGGTGGTTGGCTGGTGATAGTGGGCGACGGGTGGTGGTTGTTGTACGATAGGTGTGGTAGTGGTTGACGGCGATGGTGATGGTAATGTGGGTGTTGTTGGCGACAGTAACAATGGTGATAATTATGGTGGTGGTGGTAATTATGGTGGTGTGATGGTAGGTGGTTACTGTAGACTTGTAATAGTGGGTGGTGGTTGTTGACAATGGTGATAATGATTGTGGATGGTTGTCGTAAGCCAGTGACTATAGACTATGGTGGTTGACAATTGTAATAATGGTGGCGTTCGACAATGCGGTGGCATTGGGATGATGTTAGTAGTGATAAAAAATATAAAAATTAGATAATGATAAAAATTTTTAAATATTTTTTTTGTCAGTTAAATAACTTCATCTATTAAAGGTATTTTGTCAATAATTAATTTTATAGACTTTTAATATTAAAAATGTTAAGAATAAACGTTAAGACGAAAAAAGTCGTTCGTCGTGGACCTCCCACCAATTTTTTTTTTCCTTTCTTAACTTTAATGATTTTCAGTTGACAGCTAAAGATTTTGTCCACGTTGATATGCTAGTTAAAGTGACAGGTGTAAATCAAAAAGTAGTAAGTTTAAAACTACAAATCCACGTAAGCTCGGTGGTATTTTAGCATTACTCTTTTTTGTTTTTTTTTTTTAGCATTACTCTTTTTTTATCAAAAAGCTCGGTGGTATTTCAGTCACAGCACCCACGAAGCATCTACCATCAATGCTGACCCTACGAGATTTTTTCCACCATCCCACTCTCTCTTTTCTGGGGTTAGATCCTCTTCGTTATTTTTTTTTTTTTTTAATTTTTTTCAATACAATATTAAATGAGTGACACATATAAAATTTTAAATTTTAATAAATAATTTTTTTTTGTGAAAATATTTTTTAATAATATTAATATTTCATTAATAATAAAAATAAATAAAAAAATATCTTATTTATTAAAATTTAATATTTTATATGTATCATTGATGTAACATTGTATTAAAAAAAATTAATGGAAAAAAAAGTAACGGAGGGGATCTGTCCCTCTTTTCTTAAAGGGTTCCATCCCGCGTGGCTCATCATTTCTGCTTTCACACATCTTCTCAAACGTTTCCACACTAGCTCTGTCCCTTTCTCTCTCTCTACAAACCAGTCTATTTCCTTCTTTTTCTTCTTCTAATGGCCGCACATGAAGTAGGACAACCTTCAGAATCTCTCCAACACAAGGTAAAGTACCATTTCTGATCAGAAGCTCCAACTTGTTTTTCGACCGTTAACAAATTGCAACTCCCATATGTTGTAATATCTTCTCTTTCTTATCTCCCAGACTTGGGTCTTGAAGGTCTCCATTCACTGTGAAGGCTGCAAAAGAAAAGTGAAAAAAGTTCTGCAGCAAGTTGAAGGTCATTACAGAAACCTAATTAATTATGTGCCCCAAATATTCTAGTTATTATCAATATACATATCTGTTCTATCCATCAAAATTTAACGAATGAATGGACAAGCCTGTGGTTGTGAGTACCTTTGTTTAGCTAAAATTTCATAGTAGAGAAAATTTTCTGATATGGGCTTTGTTCATTTCCCTCTATTTTCCCACTTTCTTCTGATTTTTCTAGTGTTTCTTTTTCTATTTCAGGTGTTTATAACGCAGATATTGATACCAAGCAACAAAAAGTAACAGTAACTGGTAACGTAGATGCATCGACTTTAATAAAAAAACTGATAAAGTCCGGCAAACATGCGGAGTTATGGCCAGAAAAGATTGATGAGAAGGAGAAAAAGTCGGGCAAAGCGAAGAAAAAAGAGAAACAGAACGACCAAGAAAGCAGCGGAGATGGCCGTGGTGGTAGTGATAAAGAGATCAAACCGGCGGTGAAAATTGAAGTAGTTCAAGTTTCTACTAAAAATAGCCAAGTTTGTGGTGCTACAGCTGAACATAGCGGAGGTGGTGGTGCTACTGCATCTCAACATAGCGAAACTGGTGGTGGTGGCGGTACTAGTCCAGCTAAGCCTAGCGAAGGTAGTAGTGGTGGCGGTGCTAAAGTTGGTGAAGTTGGCTCTGAAGCAAGCAGTGGTGGACAAGCAGCGAAGGAATCAAAAGCTGAGGGGAAGAAACCGGTGACAGCCGCCGCCGGTAACCAGTCAACGGTGGCGACGGAGAAGAAGGGTGGTGAAAGCGATTGTGGACGTGCTGAGAATAGTGGCAGTGGAGGCAATGGAAATGGTAGTAAAAAGAAGAAAAAGGAAGGGCAAAATGGGAATGATGCCCAGGGTGTAAAGTCGAGTATTGCACCTGTAAGCACAGAACCACCAAATCATAACACGGTACCACCTCTTGTTTCAGACCAAACTAATCACAGCGCTCCACGTCAGCATGTGAACCATCATCACCCACCACATTACTATGCAGCAGCACCGGTATCTGCTGTGAGCTACAATACGGCGTATCCTACTAGCAGCTATACGGCGTCGTACTATGCCTCACCACCTACGGCGTATCCAACTAGCAGCTATACGACATCTTACTATACCTCACCACCACCGTATTTCTATGGGTATTCATATCCCGGACCAGAGAATGAACCTGCAATATCGGATTTAGACTCCCACCCGCGACAGCCATTGGATTCATTTGAGATTTTTAGTGATGAAAATCCCAATGGGTGCTCAATTATGTGACGGAAAATATGGAATGTAGCATTTGTACACGGCCATTGGGCATAGTTGGCTTATACTACTCGTATAAGTGTGTTTGTAACATATAATTAGATGTTTAGATTTGTAAAATGAGAGATCAGAGTAAACGTTATGAGAAATGAAAAGGGGCTTTATGGGGGGGGGTTTGTTGGCTCTTTTTAATAAGTTGTTCTTTAGCTTTATTTATCTATTTTTTTGGGTAAGCTTTATTCAGTAATTTTTTCTCCCAAATATCTTTACCACGCATTATTTAGAACTTTGATTTTAGTGCAACCTTTTTAATAAATGTAGCACTCCCCAACGACCTGAATAAATTAGATTCAAATTTTATGTGATCAAGATGAACGTTTAGTCAATGCCTATCTTTTGGTGCTATGATTTTACATTGGAGGTATCTTTGATGATGTAGTGGAGGATGTTTACAGTTTTAATGCCAGGAGAGTCATTGCCAGTCCTACCTTCAGTGACTCTTGTTGGTGCTACTTCTTCAGTGCATGTCCCCCACCAGAGCCGCCACCTAGAATTATGATTGAGCCTCGAGATCCAGGAGTGGAGATTGAGAGTAGTAAGTTGAGTCCGAGTTTGATGAAGATGACGAGGGAGACTCTGAGCAGATGAAGTTAGGATTTATTAGTTTTGCCGTTGTAGGAATTGTCTTGATGGATTATGTAATGGTTTACGTTGTTTTTGAGATGTGATAATAATAGAATGGAATGAGTTTATGAAATGAGTTTAGAAATAGAATGAAATGTGTATTACCATTCAAATATTTAGCAACTGTTTAGAATTAAGTACTAGAATAGATTGTTCATTCTATTTCTATGTTTGGATAAAATATTTTTTTCATTGGAATGGAATCAACTTTAACCAAAATATCTATAGTGAGTAATAGTAATTAATAACAATTTTTTTTTTAATGATTGTGATTGCCTTTCAAAATTGTATAAAAAAATTTATAATTAGAAAAAATGAGAATTCATTGAAAAAAATTAAACCCCTATAAATTTTAAAAAATTAGAAAACAAATTCTTTAAAAATAGATTCGCAAAAAGAAATCAATATAAAAAACTATTCAAAAGTGGTCATTCATTTCAAATGAACAACTATAATTTTTTGTGAATTTAATAGAGCTCTTGTGCAAACTCAAAAAAAAAACTATCAAGGCATCATCTGGTTGATAAATTTAAAGAAAAAATTTATTGATAAATCCAAGAATCACAAGAATCAAAAAAATACAAGAAACAAAAAAGTCAACTCATGGCTTTAATCCTTCAAAACATGTTAAAGTGTCTAAATTTCTTCTTTGGTAGCAAACAGTCCATCACACAGCACCCTTCAGCAGTGCTTCCACAAGAAACCAACTCAGATTCTTGATTCTCTCTCTCTCTCTCACACACACACACAGAGATACATTGATGGTACTATCAACCATTTTTTTTTCTTTTCTCTCATTTCTAATGGTACTTTTAGCATATAGTTGGTAGACAAACTAAATTGGCATAGAGAAACAAACATTCTACAAAAGAAAAAATACATAAAAATAAAGGAGAACCAATGTATCAGTCCCAACTGAGTTTAAATCTAACAATACATTGTATTCTCTCAACATTGTCTTCATTTGATAATCATGTGTTCAAAAAACAAAAAAAGAAAAAAAATATGTTAACCCTTACAAAACTCTAAAATGGATATGAGATTGTTGACGAAATTGATTGAGGTGTTACCTAAGATTGGTGGCAAGGTTAGATCTTGTATGTTCATAGATGTACACCCGATCGTTGTTATGGTCCCTTGCATCACGAGGAAATGATGAGATAGAGAATAGAGGTACTGCTATGGTTCTTGGTGAGGGAGGAGTAGTCATTGAGGTGATGTGAGAAGAGAGAAAGACAGAGAGAGAGAGACGATGGGTAGGGAAGAAGACGAAGAGTGAGAGGAGAACAGAGAAACAAATAAGGGAAAGAGGTCGGGACCATCGGGTTTTTTAGTTAGATCGATTGAGGTTCGTTACCATCGATTTGGGAATGGGCAATACCATGTTTAATTTGGTAATCACTAATCCTATATTTTGTGGTATTAGTTATTCCTAAGGAATGATTAGAAATGAGAATGAATTTTCATTACCACAAACAAAACAATGGAATGAACATTCTTAAGAAATGATAATTACATTCCGAAAGTCTAATCCTACGTACCAAACGTAGCATTAGGATAGTAAACCTTAGGTTGTGTCCTAAAGTTGTTATATTTTGTCTACTTTTGTACCCACTAATATATATATATATATATATATATATACACCAGTCATAACATGTATCTGAAGGCATGATGAAACATAAAATTTAAGAGCCCAAAAAATCGTTTTCACTATATTAAATTTTTTTAACATGTGTATACTATCGTACAGATATAACTTTAGAAAATAAAAATTATATTAAACTATGAATTAATCAATTATTAAATGATTAAACACGTTGATAGAAATAAGTGATGTGATATTTTTAAGGAAAAAAATGTAGGGAATAAAAACTTAAGCAGCAGGAAATGGAGAAGCAGCAAGAAGAAGATCAGCAAGAATTAAGGAAAAAGTCTTTCAACCGGTTGAACAGTAAACAGAGCTTCGACCAGTTGAAGTTCATTTCAACCGGTTGATCAGAGATTTTTACAGATGTTGGAATCATAGAAAATACTGAAAGTATATCAACCGATTGAAAACCAATTTTTAACCGATTTGTCAGAGGAGTTTTAAAAAAGTAAAAAGAACTGAGGATACTTCAATCAGTTCATCAGGGCATTTTAATCGGTTCATCATACTATTTCAACCATTGGGTCTTAAGTTGGCTACACAGAGAATGACTTTCATGAGTTTTCATTGGTGCGTGATGTCAGCTACTTCATTCCTACGCTCATGAGAGGCTACCAATCCCAATGAAGTTCATCTCTATTGGTGAAAACCACCTCCCACATTTCAAGAAGACCACCCATTGGACAAGTTCGGAGGAGGAAGCTTCACTGGCAATCCTCTATTACATTTCGGCACTATGTTACTATGTTATTCATTACAGGTTTCGGAGTTATGAATTTTATTTTCTATTACATTTCGGCACAATCTAACACAATCTAATGGATGAGGGACAAATCAAATTACGTTATCACATCAAAGAGATGGACATAATAACTCATTCAGGTGCGGAGCCACGTGGGGACCAGGGCAGTACTTGCTCCCTCATTTTTGGGCCACCTTTAATGATAACTCATAAAATTATTTAATACATTATATCTGTCTTCTTAAATTTTTGAAATTTTTGAAATTTCAATAATGATTCGAGTTTTTTTTTCCAATAAATTAGTAGTTTATTAACCCTCTAAATTAAATATTTTATTTTTAAATTGAGTAAATCAGATGTAACTATTCTAATCTATTTGTATATTGACAAAAAAATAATATTTCTTTTTATCTAACACAATGTTAATTATTTTTTAAGAATAATTTTTAATTTATCATTTTTTTAATAATAATAATTTATAACCCAATAAAATATGATTCTATACAAAATAAAACAGGTTGTAACCAAAAAATATTTTCAACTATTTCGAATAGAGAATTTCTCTATAAGATCGATAATAATCTCCAGTAAGTTTTGCAATTAGTTAAAGAATAATTTTATTACAAGCTTACGTTTGTGCGCATTGATAGAAAATTAGTGAATAATTAATTTATATTTAATTAATATACAATATTTTAGAGATTTTTTAAAAAAATTATATTTTATTAAAATATATAATTAAGTTAAAATGTACTAAAATAATTATTTATGTATTTTTATTTGAATTCTGTTTTGGCTAAATAAAAATTAAATTTACTATTTCACAATAATTTTGTCTTGAGTCTTAATATTTTTTTTATTCTTGCACTTAATTTTTTTATATCAACTAGTAACTTTATTTTCAATCATTTTTTCCCCTTCCTCATAGACATTCCCAGCTCCGCCCCTAAACTCATTCATTACCTTTAGCGGAGATTGACCTCCTCACATCTTTACATGAGAGTATGCAGCAGCCAACTATGTTAGGCTTTGTTTATTTTGCACATTATATTTCTTGTGCATGTGCAAATTTTTCTGTGGTATAATACCGAAAATTAATACTCTATTAGATCAAATTTTGACTTAATAGAGCACATTATAACCTAATGAAGTTGAATCAAGACCCTATCAAAAAAATAGACAAATATAGTTGAAGAATCAATTAGCCTTGAATTTAAGAATTAGAACTGGTCCCAAGTTTTAAAAAAATTCAACCTATACTTTCTGAAACAACTTATAAAATTGTAATTTGACCCAATTAGAACGTAATATATGTGAGACCGATATCAAATCAGTCCTAAGAAATTTTGGCTAATATAATCTAGGGCTTTGTAAGTTTTGTCTGTCAAAACTCTTTTTTCAATCATCAAACCTTTGGAGTGTTTGCTATAGGTTGTCTTCTTTGAGAAACCTTGTTTTTTATAGCTTTCTTGGCTTCCGCCCCCGCCCCACCACGCGTGGTAAATAACGGTGGAAACCAAAGAGGGTGCATGCTGGATTCCACTATGTGACCAAAAGCAAAGTTTTTCACATACAAGTATGCAACCCTTTCCTTCTTTTAATACCTGTCTCACCTTGTCTTTTAGTTGGGAGAGCGACTGGTTGAAGAAATAAACAATTTGATAGTCAGAAAATCGGGTTGCTCAGTTAATGTTTTCTTGACTCAAAGTCGACATTTTTTGACCCACATGCTTCTCTTTTGTAGATCAGAGTACTTTTAGATTTAAGTCGGAAGAGGTTAGATCACTTATTATGAAGTAAACTGGGATCCCTTGAATTCCACTAGTCCCACCACCAATATACAATCAAGGCTCGTTTGATAAACATATTATAAATGGATTAAATATTATATTGTGCTATTATTTTTTTAAGAGAATTCAGGCAACAAGTACAAAGTCCAAAGTCAGATACTTTTTTAAGCAAAAGGTCTATACTGGACGCATTTAAGGCGAAAGGTCTATAAAATATACAATTGATAAAAATATCTTTAATAAAGGAGATTATTTAGATATCCCAACATATCCTATCATCCACCCCACCCCACTCCACC